GGGAGAAGTTGAAACCTCTCCGAAAATGCGCCCCAGAAACGGGGGGTGAAGGAGAGGGAGCCGCCGCGAAAGGAGACCCCCGTCACACTTTGGGTGAGGTTTGTAAGCAATCTTTACTCGCTGCTGCACGGTGAGAAGGGACAATTAATTAACTGATCAATCAACAATCCCCTTGACGATTCGTGTCCCTGCCTCCCACCCCAAAATGTACCCCCACAATTACTTAGCACCAGGTTTGCAGTTTGGTTTTCTGTTCGGTTTTGCTTTTCTTGCTTTATTCTTGCAATTCCCCAGGACTGACCCTGAGCTCTGCACGCAGGGAGGAAAGGGGCCCTTCCGCTCCTCTCCGGCTGCCACAGAGCCACCCCTGCACACCAGGAGAGGACAATGTCCCCACGCAGAGGACACGGCCTCAGAAATGGGGCGAGTTTGCTCGTCATTCCCCAAAGGCCCCCAAAATCCTGCAGGGAAGCTCTGTTGCTTCTCCATAAAGGTTAAGCGATGCCACACCAAGTACCTGCTGTGCCCAGGAAGGATTTTGGGCTCCCCTGGCCCCCATGGGGACGCAGAGGAGCTCGGTGGAGGCACAGACAGAGATTTTGGGTGCAGTGTGATGAGGCAGCTCCTCCTGCAGAGCCTGCGTGGCGCTGCCGGGCATCGCTCCTCACCAGCGTATAAAAATACCAGCTTTTTTTTTTTGTCCATTTTCTTTCTTTTTGGGTTTTTTTTTTCTTTACAATTTATAAAAAGCTTTTTTTTTTTATTTACCAAACCCGTCAAACCTCCGTCCCGTCGTGCAAATCGTTGCGGACTTTGACTTCCAAGTTCACCTGCTTCACTTTCCAGCCCTTGCCCCGGTCGGCGTCCCCCATCCCCCCCAAAACGTTGACGTTCCTGACGGTGCAGTACCGGCTGTCCGCGCCCCTCGGGGCGCCCCGCGGCAGCTCCACCTTGGTGTTGAGGGGATGCTCCTCCGGGGCGGCGCTGCTGGCCTCCCGCTTCCTCCGCAGCTTTCGGCACTTCCTGGCCAGGAGGCAAAGCCCCGAAAACAGCAGCAGGAGGAGGGCGGCGGCGGCGAAGGCGCTGCCCAGGGAAGCGCCGGTTTGGGATAAGGAGGCGGCGACGGCGGCTTCCTCCCTCTCCAAAAACAGCGACTTCATGTTGGTGCCATTCTTCCGCTTGTCGCCTTCGTT